CACATCCTGCCTTGGGGGTCCAAGCGGAGCTTTGAGAGTCTCATCCCATCACTGGGGGTCTGCAACTCGGCCTCAGGGGCCCCAGACGCTGCGTTGGGAGTCATCGCCAGTTCGGAGGAGGCTCAAACTTTGCCTGGCATGTCTGAGTCCGTGATCTCAGATCGTACACTGCTACGGGGGTTCATGTTCAGTCGCATGGGTCCCATACTCTGCCTTGGGCACGTGATGCTGACTTTGGGCTTCTTCCCCAGTGATGCTTGGGGGTCTGAATTTGGCCTGGTGACGGCGGGGGGCGGGTGGGGATTCTGAAGTCTGTGCTGCTAGCCCGGGTGTGTCCCTGGGCGTCCCAGGACCTGCTTGGGGATCAGAAGCTGGCTGGCGAATGTGGCGTGGGAAATGAATACAGAGGCCAGTGGGCCCAGGAGGGTGAGAGGTGGTGGGCTCTCCACCTGGAAGGGAGGGCCCCTCCTGTTCAGACTGTTATCAGTATATTCTCCAGGAGAAATTCAGAATGCGTGGTGTCGAAAGGGTCACATGGATCCCAGCTGTCACTAGGGGGTTCTTGTTTTCACAGAAGAGCAGGTTTAATGGAAATGTTCCTTTTTAAGTGTCTGCAGAAAGCCACGGCCTTTCCGATATTTCGATGATGGTGACGCTCGTCATTCTAACATGCACAACGAAGGAGGGGACACGTAGGAACACGTAGCCCGAAGAGGCAGGGGAGGCCTGGTTGCTGTGTCGGAACGGGGGTGGGGGGGATTGAAAGGAACGTTTGAGGTGGTGTTACTGTACTGGCAGGAACTGTCCTGTGCAGCCCCCCGAGCCAGCGTGACCACGTTGGGCACGGTTGGAATTGAGTTGAGCTGTCGTGCGTCTGTCTTAAAGAAAATGGGCGAGCTTGGGATCTCGACCCGGTGTCGCCAGTGACGCCCCCACGGGCCGTGAGTCCTGGGTGCCATTTCCTTGCTGATGGAATCAGAGTGTGGATTAGAACCTACAGTAACGAAGGCACAAGGGTGTGTGTGCTGATGGCGTATATCGTTCCGGGGCCGGTCCCCCAGCCCTCCGCCCTGTCACACGGCTCCCGACCGCCAGCACCGGGCACGGGCATCAGTGAGTCCGCGGAGAAAGCACGGGGCCTTGTGTCCCCGGGGAGGGTGTCTCTGCGGGGCCTGGCTCTGAGATCCTGGGGCGAAGCTGCTCTGCAGCGGGAGGCCGGCTGGCGAGCGCACAGGAGCTCGCTGTGGTCCTGTGACGCCCCCTGGCGTAAGATTGGGGCAGGTCCCCTCCTCCCAGCCCTGCCTCCTGTAGACGGAGTGCAGTCTTACTTGGGGGAGCAGACCTACCGGAGCTCGCGTTTCCAGGGCTGCGCGGGGCGCCAGGTTCTTAGCCGCACTCAGACCTCTCCGCTTCCTCGGTTCCCGTCGCCGTCCGGGCCGCATCGCCAGCGCTGTCCCCTGGAGCCTGCCTGCCCGGCGGTTTCTGGGGGTGGCCTGGGGAGGGACGACGGTGAGGATTAACACTTGATAATGAGGTAACGCATTTTTTTTACTCCTTTACTATTGACACTATGCCCTGAGGCTGCTGAGGGGGGTGGTAGACGGTTTCCTGCTAAGTAAGTTCATCCTACAACCTCAGCTCCGTGCGAACCCCCAAGCTGTCTGCAGACTTGATTCAGCAGACAGCCCTCGAAACGTCTAGTGTGTGTGATAAACGGCGCAGATGTTGGCGTGAAAATGGTGTTGAGGCTGTGGGAAGAAGTAGGGGAGAGAGGAGACAGGTGCCAGTCGCCTGGGGTCGTGGCGCCGTGCACACAACACGGTGGGAGGGGGCTCGCACAGCCGTGGGGAAAAACCGCTCGTGTTTTGCCTTCGTGTTGAAAGTGTTCCGTTTTCCCGATTCTCCAACACCCGTGGTTGTTAAGATACATCGTGGATTGGATGGGGAGATGTGTCCTGATGTGGCAGGAGCCCCGAACCGGGCGCAGTTGGAGTCAGGGGCCGCCGGTCGTTTAACCCCCTTCCCAGGCATTCAGAGACGGACTGTTTTGTCCCCTCTGTGAGCCGAGCCACTCCCCATTTCTTGGCATTGTCTGACTTTGGGTGCTTTCTTCCCTCTGCCGACAACAGTGTAAAAACGTCGAATTTTAAGAGCGTGTGCTGAAAAGCCCCAGCGTGTGCAACTGCCTGTAGCTCGGGAAAGACTCACCGAGCGAGTGGGGGGGTGGCTGTGTCATTACGTGGCTTGCAGCCTCAAGGGCTCCACGCAGCAATCTGACCTCTCTTGTGTCTCAGCGAAAGGTCTGGCCAG